ACACCGTATTGGGGTAGGATGGATGAAGTGGAGGTTAGCATCTGGAGTCTTGTGTGACAAGAGAGTGCCACCGATACTCAAAGGTAAGTTCTATAAAATGGTGGTTAGACCGGCCATGATGTATGAGGCTGAGTGTTGGCCCGTTAAGAACTCACATATCCGGAAGATGAAAGTAGCAGAGATGAGGATGTTGAGGTGCATGTGCAGGCACACTAGGATAGATAAGATTAGGAATGATGATATTCGGGAGAAAGTGCACGTGGCTCCCATTGATGACAAGATGCGGGAAGCGATGCTTAGATCGTTCGGACATGTTCAGAGGAGAAGCCCAGATGCTCCGGTACGGAGGTGTGAGCGGCTGGTTGCGGAGGACACGAGAAGAAGTAGATGGCGACCTAAGAAGTATTGGGGAGAGGTGATCAGGAAGGATATGGCGAGACTCCAGATTTTCAAGGACATGACACTTGATAGGGAGATGTGGATGTCGAGTATTAAGGTTGTAGGTTAGGAAGTAGTTGAGTCTTGACTTACTTTGTACCATTGTGGAACTAGCTAGGTAGGGTTTTGTCTAAGATAGCTAGTGACAATGTTGTGCCTTACTATTTTGCTTTCCAGTACATGACCTATTTACTAGCTATCGCTTTTGCTTTGCATCTTTCTTCTGGATTTCATGGTGTTCTTATTTTTCCTATGATTGTTGTGGTGATACTAATATTGTCTCTTTTTGTCCTTTTGTCTTTTTGTTTTCTTGAGCCGAGGGTCTTTCGGAAATAGCCTCTCTACCCTTCGGGGTAGGGGTAAGGTCTGCGTACACACTACCCTCCCCAGACCCCATCAGTGTGATTTTACTGAGTTGTTGTTATTGTGTATATTTGTACAGTTTATTTAGTAAAAATTGCAGATTTATTTTTGTTAATAAATCTAAATATTAAAATTAAAAGTGATGGAGTAATCATGAGAAGGACGGGGAATAAATTGATAAGAATTAAAAGTGATCCAGGGTCAATATTTATATAGTTTCTAAACCTCATAAGTCATAACTACCCCCACATCAGCATCTTGTTAAATCTGCTATTTTTAAAACAAATCAGAAGTAATGTTATTTTGCACCAACTTCACTTGCCGGTTCTCGGTCAGGTGCGCATCTTCTCAAGCTTCAAATAGGATTCGAGCAAGACATCCTTAAATTACACAATTTTTTTTAATTTTTAACGAAACCCATATTCGAGGTTTGTGAAATTCAAGATTATTAAGGCTTTAATGGATGGACTGATGAGTTTTCAAGCGCAATCTGTTCGTGCTGTCTCAAGAGAGCAAAGCTCGGTACCACTTCCTATATTTTCTCCAAAAATTACTAGAGTTTCTGTTCGGCCAATTGGAATGGTGAGAAAGTCCAAGTTGTTTAATTCATTTGTTGCTTCAGTTCAGCCCGTTGAAGCCTCTGCTGTTACCCCTTTTGACAATACATTACCATCTAAAGGTAAAGATGGATCTGATATCATTCTTGGTGGATTGGTTGTTTCTAATTTCTCTATTCATGCATGTAAAATGAATATGGCCTGTGTCTGTGCATATGTGTGTAAGTGAAAAGTCTGAATCCTGTCTTCAAAACTATAAAATCTGTCGTCTTTGTTATGGAGCCATTTCCCATAATTTTGCTAATCATGCTTGTAAATGAAATTGGCCTGAATAGAAATATAGAGAATTCAGGTTATCAAAAAGAAACATAGAGAATTCATGTAGCTGACTTCAACTAGTTTGGAATTGAGACAAAGTTGATTGATTGATGATCTGTAAAATGAGATATGGATTGAGTTTTATTATGGAGGGAATTTATTATGATTATGCAGCAAACTGATGGTTTTTTGAATTATGTTAGAGGTTCTTGCTGTTTGGCAAAATGTGAATGCTGTATGCTTTGATGTGGATAGCACTGTGTGCATAGACGAGGGCATAGATGAATTTGCAGAGTTTTGTGGGGCTGGAAAGGCTGTAGCAGAATGGACTGCTAGGTTAGCTGCCTTTCTAAAATGTAGCAAATAATTTTTATAATCGAATATTAAATGCTATAGGATTTCATATCACATTTATCTTGACTTTGACAGGGCAATGAATGGCTCTGTTTCTTTCGAAGATGCATTGGCAGCTCGTCTGTCTCTTATCAACCCTTCATTGTCCCAACTCCAGGATTTTCTTAAGAGACCTCCACGGTAACGCTGTGCCTTGTATCACCTATGGTACATAAGGTTTCCATTTCTATGAACTATTATTACGAGTTTACTAAAAGGAAAGACAATGACATATTGAGTCTTCAAATTTTCACCTTTTATGGAAAAATTAAACAGTTACATTTTAAGGAGTGGTTTTGCTTTATAGGTATAGAGTATTACTATCTGCTATTCCTTTTAATTAGGGGCCTTGGTCATAACTGCCAATTTAGTTATTTGAAAAAACTTTTGACTGAGCATGCTATATGGTCATGGTTGTCAATTTTTTTCCCGTAATCTTAAAACCTTTCTTGTGTTGATGTTCAGACTTGAAATGTTATAGCTCTCTGGATTCATTATTCCTGCAACTTGGCTAATTACAGAAATATTGTAATTAACACAAAAACTATCAGTTAATAGATTCCCCAAAGCAATCAATACATTAGGAAGTAGTTAGGCATAAATTAAAATGCTAATTTTTTCTTTAATGAAGTACTCAAATTGCATTAGTTAATGCATCAAGAAGATGCAGAATTACAGAAGGAGAAGGAATAGCTCCAGTACAAACTAAGAGCTAGTTGTTATTTCCTAACCTCCGGGAGCTGTAGCCTTCTCTATTAATTATCCTAAGCGTTAAGTCTTACAGTTCAGACAACAGTGGTAGTAGTATTAAATACTCAACCACCCTTCAGGATCTTTCAAGGATTAGCAAATTTTAAGAGAGTCCGTGGCCCCTGCTAGCTCTTTCTTCAGTATGGCATTACAAAGGAAAAAAGATGGCTTGACTAGAAGAGCCACTTGAGTTTTCATCAATTATAAAATTGTTGAAAAGTGTCATAACCAGTTTTTATTGTAAGCCTGTGATAGAGATTGACCATAACATAAGCTTGGGTCCGGGCTCAGCCTTTGTTATATAAAAGTTTGGCCATGGTTACAGTTAATTGGTTCCTCCAAATTTCATACCTGTATTCCTTCAGCCATCTGTTAGTTTGTGAATAACAAATATATACAGTTTTGTGCAATTGACTTTCAGTATATCTAAGTCCCCAGTGAAAATATAAATCAAATAAAGAAAACAAAAAATTAGAGGGGGCTCAAACTTCCCGACAAGGAATATCGCTACCTTAGGACCGTTATAGTTACGGCCGCCGTTCACGGGGATCGGTCACCGGGCCCTGGAGGACTGACAGGCACACTGTTCCAAATGTTTCTGGAAATTCTTACTCCCATTGGACCATTTGTATCTGTGCACTCAGCAAACTGTGTCTCCCTACTTGGCATAGCTATAAATTCATCGATAGCAATTCTAAAGGAAATCCCGTACAATTTATAAATTTTGCAAGTGAAAAGACAATTTCTTTTTGTAGTAAGCAAAATGGTTTAAGATAATCTGGCTAGTTCAATCCCTAAAAATTGCCAAACAATTCAGTTTTTTTATGGTGTCTCTTTGAAGCTAGTTGGTTGTTTTTTTTAATCAGCTGGGGTTGTTGAAATCTTTTCAAAGATAATCTTGCTTAATCCATCCATGCCTTAAAAATTTCAAATAAATCAACTATTGTCTGATGTCCCTTTGAAGCTAGTTGATTGATTACTTTATAAAGCTTAGGCTACTGAATCTTTTCTGGTTGTGATTGGTGCAGACTTTCTCCTGGCATTGATCTATTGGTCAAAAAACTGAAGGATAAAAAGAAAGATGTTTATCTGGTCTCAGGCGGGTTTCGTCAAATGATCAATGTACTTCCCTTGTTGAAATGTTTAGTTTTATTTGTTCATCTTGCACCTGATATAAACATATTAAAAGATATGCTGTTGTGTTTTTGCACTTCTTATAATATTAGTAAGTTTCAAACTTTCCACGTGAGTTTTGAACATCATTCTGGATATTTTTCTATTCGTCTCTGCTATTACTAATTTCCAAGTTTTATTTTGCAAAGTGCTTTACTGGGAACAGTTAGAATTGGCTGGTCATCTTCTTGTATAAATGTTATCATATGTATGAACTATGAATAGGTTATGCTAATAAAATTTTCCAGTAGTTGGAACAAGAGGTGTCAGGGAAAACCTGAAAACAAGAATTTTTTGGTTTGCTACCTTTAATATGATGAAAGTTTTGGGTCATCACTTGGTTCTGTTTACCATAGTGTCCAACTAGACTTGCAAAAAATTCTGCTAGTTACCCAATTATTTGGTGCAGTTATTTGGATGAAAAATGTGTTCTGATGACTGTAGTTTGATCAGTCGTCATTATCAGATGTCTCTCTCTTTTTTTTTTTTTTTTTAAAGTTGTGCTGATCCCATAATGTGGTGTATTATCTATATTTTTTCTAACCATAACTCTTTCCTGAAGCCTGTCGCATCGATCCTTGGTATAACACTTGAAAATATTTTTGCCAATCAAATGCTCTTTGGGAGTAATGGAGAATTTGCTGGGTTTGATAAAAATGAGCCAACTTCAAGGAGTGGTGGAAAACCTACTGCTGTTCAACAAATAAAAAAGGTTGGTGTTGGAACAACTGGTGATGTAGTTGCTTATTTTAAGACATTTTTCTTAAAGATTGCTCATAAAGCTAAGTAATCCAATCTTTCAGGCTCATGGATACAAATCAGTAGTGATGATTGGTGATGGTGCCACTGATCTTGAGGTAAGTAACCAATACGCTCGTCTCCTGTTTGACCACCAACTCCAATCACCCAAAGGGTAAAAAATGGGTGATGGATGGAGTGATATATCTAGCTTTAGTTTAAAATTTACAAAAACAAACTTTGTAAACTCAGTTTTTGAGTTTTTTTGCAAACTTCGTTTGTTTGAGTTGCTTTCGCCAGAACAAAAAAAAGGAGTTAGTGGTTTTTTAAAGATTTCCAAACTCAGTTTTTCAAAACTTTCAAAAACTCAGAAACTCTAGAAAGTAGTTTTTGAATTGTTAAAAGATTTTAAAAACTGAGATTAGATCTTCGGGAAAAATTGTTGTTATTTATTTATTTATTGCAGAACAACATAAACAAACAGAGTTTGCAAAAACTCAAATTACTTGGGCAAACTTTGTTTTTGAAAATGTTGAAAGCAACACCATCAAACTTGTTTGCTCTTGTTTATACTATTTTGTGTTTTGTTTGAGGATTCTGAATGATATATCTGTTGACAACTTTGCACTTCTCTGGAATTTTGGTTGCAGGCTCGTATGCCAGGTGGTGCGGACTTGTTTATTTGCTATGGAGGAGTTCAACTAAGAGAATCAGTTGCAGCTAAAGCTGATTGGCTGGTGTTTAATTTTAAGGACTTGATTAACTCATTGGAGTAATGTGCTATCGGATCTTCACTCTTCCATCAATATTTCGCGTCTTCACTCTTCCATCAAATATTTCTTCCTCGGGGCTTTATGCAGCTTTGTAGTTCTGTTCTTGATGTAACAAGACATAGCAAGTTTATAATTTGCTGTTATTGTCCCCTCCAGGAGAGTCTTCTCCGCTCTTATTAATTCCTATTTTTATGTGTAAGAATAAAAATTGAGAACGCATAACAGGAGAACAAAAAGTATCAGCCGGCCCTCCTAGCTTGACATATTACCAACCTCAACTAATTCTAACTCAGGACATAAATAAATGGGAATTGAAGTATTGAAGATCTGATTGATATTATGTTGCGCTACATACTGCAAATTCGATGAGCTTCAGTAAGTTTTGAACAACCTAGTGTTCTCATGTATATTATTTGTTACTTTTATTTTTGAATCTTAGAACTGGAGATGCAGAACATGAGAACAGAGAGTACCAAAGAGTCTCTCACTCAAACGCAAACTGATTAAACAGCATAAAACATACAAAGACAAAAAGAAGGAAAGAGTAAGATAAAAGATTTGAACAGAACCGCAGTACAACAGCAGGAATATTATTACACAGGGGAATACATTAGCGGTTAATAGGCCAAATAAGGAGACGGCTCAGGATGAGACATGAAGGAAGAACAACTCTACATCTTCAGTAATACAAACCTTACTATATCTTTTTATACTGGCTCGCAATCCATAGAGTACTTGCTACATTTACTGTAATATGGCCAAATTTTCATGACATTTGCCATGACATAATATCCATTATAACAAATTTGTGGTTCATGACATTTACCATGACATAATATCCATTATTAGGCCAAGGATTTCTTGCTATAAATAGAGGAGTTTCTCCTCATTTGAAAACACACCAATTCAAGAGCTTTTCACTCTTGTCTTTCTTTCTCCTCCTTTATTTCATTATAGAGTATTTTGTAAGAGAGTGAGTGTTGGGAAACACTTGTGTGAACCCTTTCTTTGGAGTGATCTTGTGAGGTTATTCTCTTGTGGTATTTGGTAATTAGAGTATTTACTCTAATTTTGTACTCTCTTTTGTACTCTTGTTAGTATAGTGAAATTGCTTCTCTCCGCTTGTGGACGTAGGTCACCTTAATCGAACCACGTTAAATTTGTGTCTTCTTTATCTTCTTTAATTGACATTATTATCAACTTGCATTGTCTTTGTTATTATCATTATAATGTTGTTTGGCTAAATTTCGTACTACCCAATTTTTCGATCCTAACAAATTGGTATCAGAGCCAGATCTAACCGGGTTAGTTTAAAAAGCCAAAATGACTCTAACAAAGTCTTATGTTGAGAAATTTGACCGAAGTGCAAACTTCGGAATGTGACAATTAAAGATGGAAGCTATAATAATTCAGGATGGCTTAAATTTGGCACTACAAGGAAAGGAGAAGATGCCGGATAAAATGACGGACGAGGAGTTTACCGTCATAGACAAAAAGGCAAAAGCAGATATTATTTTAAATCTTTCAAATGAGGTTTTGCGTGAAGTTGCAGCAGAAAGCTCAGCCAAAGGCATATGGGAAAAGCTTAAAACGCTATATATAAAAAGAACAGTAGAAAACAGGCTTTACCTAAAGCAAAAACTCTACACTTTTCGTATGGCTGAAGGAACCTCTATACTTACACATCTTGATACTTTTGATTCTCTTCTTATGGATTTAAGTAACATAGATACTGAAATCAAAGATGAGGATCAAACTGTATTATTGCTTGTTTTCTTACCCCAGTCGTTTAAGCATATAAGAGATACTATGCTTTAAGAAAAGGATAATATCTCTTATAAAGATATCAAATCTATTTTGAAATCAAAAGAACAAATAGATAGAGATATTACTGGGGAAACTAGTGGGAACCAAGGGGAAGGCTTATTCATAAGAGGTAGATCCAATAAGAAAGATTCAAGTAGTGAGAAACCTAAATCAAGGTCAAAATTAAGATACAGAAATGTCATGTGCAAATATTGTCATAAGAAAGGTCACATTATTTCTGAATGCTTTAAATTGAAAAACAAAGAAAAACATACATAAAACAAAAATGAGTACAAAAATACTGACACTGCCGAAGCAAGTGTAGCTGTTGATTAGACTGAGGGAACTATTTTTTTAGCAACTAATAATAGTTTCAAATCTAACAATGAGTGAATTTTAGATTCGGGTTGTTCTTATCATATGTGTCCCAGTCGGGATTTATTTACCACATATAAATCTATTGGAGGTGGAGTTGTCTTGATGGGCAACAATGCTGCCTGCAAAGTTATTGGAAAAGGTACAGTCCGAATCAAAATGCACGATGGTGTGGTGAGAACTCTCACCGATGTTAGACATGTTTCTAACTTGAAGAAAAATCTCATCTCTTTGGGCACTCTAGAATCTCTTGGGTGCAAGTACACAGGTGAAGGTAGAGTTCTTAAAAATTCTCATGGTGCTCTTGTGATCATGAAAGCACGCAGATCTGGTACGTTGTATACTCTTTTGGGATCTACTGTTACAGGTGCTGCTGCAGTTTCAATATTAGATAAATCAAATTCTGACATCACCAAATTGTGGTATATGAGATTGGGGCATATGAGTAAAAATGGTCTTTCTATCCTCAGTAAAAGAGGTCTCTTATGTGGCCAAAGTACCGAAAATATGGAGTTCTGTGAACATTGTGTGTTCGAGAAATAGAAAAGAGTCAGCTTCAAATCTCCAGCGATTCATAGAACAAAAGGTACTTTGGATTACATTCATTCAGATCTTTGGGGTCCTTCACGTACCCCATCAAAAGGTGGTGCCAGGTATATGTTAATTTCATTGATGATTATTCAAGGAAAGTTTGGGTTTATTTCCTGAAAAATAAAAGTGACNGAAAATTAGAGCCAAGGGCTAAAAAGTGCATTTTCCTTGGGTATGCATCTGGGGTAAAAGGATATCGACTATGGTATCCTGATCCCACAGTACCAAAATTTATAATTACCAGAGATGTAACCTTTGATGAATCCTTTATGTTACATTCTAGAAAAGAGTCTTCTTGTTCTTGTAATACAGATAAAGGAAATAGTATACAGAATCAGGTGGAGATTGAGATTGGCATTCCTTCTGAGCCAAGCTCATCAACTTTGGAGCA